TGGAGTGCGCCCACCTTGGTCAGACCAGACAACGGGCTGCTGCCGTGCTATGGCATGATATCGAGATCAAGGAGCACCAAATTCAGAACGGCCACCACGGGCCACAATGGCAGTAGAAAAGGTAGTGAGAGGCCCTGGCATGGTGTGGCTTGATGCCAATGGGCGAGGAGACCAACCGAAGCCGTTTGTTGCTTGGCAAGAGCATGGCTACGCTTGTTACTGGCTTCGAGTTCGGCTTGTAGAGTTTCTACACGTGCAGCCAGATCGGTTCGTTCTTGCTGCACCAGGGCCAAATCCCCACGGAGGCTTGAGCAGTCCTGTTTCAAGGCCAGACGCAAGAGTTGCAAGGCATCATGAGACAAGCTACACGGGTGGTTGGACACTGCTCGTGCAGTCCGGATACCTGCTCAAGATTCTGAGCCGCGCGCCGCAGAGTGGCGGCTTCTTCTAGGGCATCGGCTTCAGCCTGTCGTAGGCGATTGACATCTGCCTGGGTACGCCGCTACTTGTGATACAGGAAGGTGAGAAACAGACAATGCACGCAAACGTCTGCGCAGAGCCATTGCGCATGGTGGCTACAGGCTGGAACACGACGGAGCCTTTAGTCACTTTCTTCAGCTTTGAACTCCAATATCCCCAATATCACCCTCAGTCTGCACGAAACTCGGGGCTAAAATGTTTCAACCGTTGTCCGATGCTCACCTGGGCAGCTTCCATTTCTCGCTGCTGGCTCTCAAGCTGCTTCTGGTGGTGCACCTGCTGCTCCTTCATGGTATTGAGTAGTTGCTCATTCACTTGATTGCGGCGCATCAGCTCCTGCTCCAGCTCATCCAGCGCTCCAGAGCTTTTCTGTTTCGAGCGGCTCGGCTTGACTTTCTAGGTTGGTGTGGCAAGGGCCACGCAGGGGTCGACGGCGATTAGGGAATAGGTCTTGCATTCAGACGACGATCCTGAAACGCTGGGGGCACTCGGCAGCCAACCTTGTCCAGCTCCTCCTGCAAGAGCTCAACCCGCTTGGTTAATTGCGTGTTGTGGAAGCGCAGTGACTCGACTTCGGACAAGACATCACGGTATCGTTGGTCACTCTCCCGCAGTTTGGCCTGTGGCAGCCGCAAGAAAGGCCATGAGACGGGGGTCATGAGCTGCGTGCCTCATCGTGCGGCCAGCTGCAGATGCATGCGTGGGGGCGTTGCTACCACGTTCGGCGGTCGAGCGCGTTGGTAACAGGAGTCCATACCTCCAGCTCGGGATTTGGGGCCTGCGACGCTGGGGCAGCATTGGCCTGGGCCTCGAGGACGGCCTTTTTGAGAACCGAGTTCTTCACTTTGAGCTGCGTTCCGGGGCAGATCGACAAAAAGATGTGAGCTGTCTGGCAAGGCTAAGGAATGGAACTGGTCAAGATGCGGTGTTCTCTGAGTCAACAACCTCGGAATAAGCCGCCAGCAGCTTGTCATATTTGTCCTGCGAGCATGCCATGAGGTGCCATGAGCGCCCGGGAAATTGTTGGCTGACGATCGCCGAGTGAGCCACGCCGAGCTTCAACACTTTGGCACGAACCGAATCCGTCATGTTTCAGGGTAGCGACGCTGAAATGATAGCCTGCCACTGTGAAGAAACCGGCTCGACACAACATTCACGCGCCCGCAAGCTCGTGATCCCGCTGCCTGCCTGAACCGCCACTGATTTCATTTGAAGAGAAAAACAGCGAGAGAGAGAGAGAGAGAGAGACAGAGAGAGAGACAGTCAGAGGGAGAGACGGACAGAGAGAGAGGGACAGAGAGAGAGAGACAGAGAGAGAGACAGAGAGAGAGGGAGAGACGGAGAGAGAAAAAAAAGAAGAAACATGTGTCTGACAATCTGACAAATCCACATCATTCACACAGACACACAGGAAGGTTCGAGGACCAGTGAGAAGCAAGGAGACGGCACCGAACGGGGGTGTTGAGGTGAGACGGGTATTTGAGTGCAGTGTCTTGGCCTGAGACGCGCGGGAGAGCAGAGGATTGAAACCACACTTGTAAGTCCATTGCACTCGGTGATCTTGGTGGGGATGTGTGTGGGCTCAGAGTCCTCACACTTGTTGGGTGGCATTTTTTTTCTCCTGATCCTTGCACGGCTGAAGGATTGCCCGCTAGACGATTGATTGATTATCTTGTTCAACCACAACTGCTTGTGGTGCCTTGCGTATCCGTTGCCTGCCTCACCTTGATCAAGGGCTGACACGCGTCCTCACTTGAGCCACAACTTGATCACCACGACCAGCTATCCCCTCTGCACCGCCACCATGTTGGGTCAACGCTGTCCCGAGATTGATGGATTGGAGATGCTCAAGGGCGAGCGCATCGACATTCCCAGCTCCGGCGCCGTTGTGTGCGTGGAGTGTTGGGCCACATGGTGCGGCCCATGCCGACAGATGTTTCCCCACATGTCTGAGCTGGCGCGCAAGTATCGCGCGCGTGGCTTCAAGGTCATTGGTGTGACGCAGGAGCCCATGTCGGCCAATCTGAAGCAGTTTGTTGCCAGCCAGGGCAACAACATGGACTATTCTGTGGCTGTCGATGGCGACGGTGATGTGCAGGAAAAGCTGATGATGCCGGCTGGAGCTCGAGGCATTCCCCATGCTTTTCTAATTGATTCGCAAGGCATCATCCGCTTCTCGGGCCACCCAGCCGAGCCCGCCTTTGAGAGCACCATCGAGAACCTGTGCCGTGCGCTGGAAGCCAGCAAGCCCTCGCTCGAGCTAACCCAGGAGGCCCTGTCTGCAGTCAGCGTCAAGGACCTCAAGAAGGAGATGCAAAAATACGGCATCAGCTACGCCGGCATGTCTGAGAAGCAAGAGCTCATTCAGGCCCTGCTCAAGCACAAAAAGTAAAGCCCTCAAGAAGCCCTCGCACGCCCCAAAGTCCAAGTGTCCAAAAAATTTAACAGCCATCGCCGAAGGGACTCGAACCCTCAATCTTCTGATCCGAAGTCAGACGCCTTATCCATTAGGCCACGGCGACTACCTTTTGTCAGCGTGACATAATGCTCTATATGTTTGTACTGGCGTTGAAACCTCTGTTACTGCTGTGCAGCCAAATTTAATGATGAACAAAGAAAATAATTTGAATTGGAACTGACTGATGCTTATGATCAAAGTTCATGAGCGTTGCACACCGTCCGCCTCGGCGACACTTGTGATGCCTCCTGCGGATACCACATGATCCTCGTCTCCCTTTCCCTTGGTTTTGGACTGCGAGTGTGGTGTGAAAAGAAAAAGGAAAAAGAAAAAAGGAAAGAAAAAGAAAAACGAAAATCAATCGTCATGGATCTTTCAAGCGTTGCGCTTTGGTCACGACCAGGTCTCAACCTGATACCGGCCTGTTTTCTCAAGCTGAGCCACGTAAGCTTCCGCAGCAGCTCCATCCAAGCCTCCTGTTGGCCACAAAGATGTGAAGGAGGGTAAAAAAAGAGCTAGAGGTGCGCAAGCTGGCGAGAACTGGGCTGTTGCGTTTGCAGCAGAGCTGGTACTCTTTCACTCTGAACACACCTTTGCGGCGTACGGTATCAAGGAAGGCGTCGCGGACTGCCTTGGGCATCTGGTTGGCATTGCTATACATTTTGGTAGAGTCGCAATTGCGTTTCAAAACCAAGGTTAGGACAAAGGGGGTCAAACACGGGAACATGGCCTTGCATAATCTTGAGTGCGAAATGAGATGTCAAGATCCTCACCCGGCCAACAGAATCGATGCGCCAGCCTGAAGAGACTCCCACAAGAGTGCTTCATGCTCTGCCATTACATGCTGAACATACTGCTTCTTGCCCTGTAGCCCACCAAAATACGGCTCACCATGAGCGAGCGGTCGACCGGCTGTGGCAAACGAGCTGAGACAATTGCTATTTCAGGGCCGAGACCAAGCAAGTCCAAACAAGACGACAAAACGTTGAAAACGGGACCGCACCTCATCGCGCGAAAATGCCAGCAAGAGGTGTAGACCGTGTTCACGAGCTTGTGCAAGCCACTCGTCTCCAAATAAAAAGTCAGCTTCCCGGTTTCGGTTGCCAAAAATCAACACATTGTGCTTGGCCGCAGCCTGACGCAGTGGATCCAGCAGGAGAGAGCGGAAAGGCGCCACACCCGTGCCAGGCCCGATGCAGATGAGCCGCTGTTCTGGAGGCGGTACTCGTAACGTGCCTGCTTGTACCCATACAGCGACCGTTGTAGAGGCTGCGATATGGACAACCCGAGACGAGAATAAATAAACCAGGCAAAGTGCAAGGCGAGTGACATCAAGGCGAGTGGCATCAAGCGACGCGGCAGCGTCGGGCTAGCGCAGGTGCGACGCAGTCACGATTCGAGTCGCATTGGCCTACCAAGCTGCTCCTCTGAATTCAACGCGGCAAGCCATGACGTCATGACGCCCACTCGCGGGACAGTCATGCGTGTCTTATAATTGACGATGGCAATGCAAAACTCAAGCCGCCCTGCATGCACCTATGCACCGGTCATCAGTTCTCGTGAGAGACGCGGCGCGTCCAGGTACAAACACGACTACAGAGAAAGGCGGCTGAATATTTAAAAGGGTTGGGGAGTCAAAAAAAAACCCCCCGCGTGGCCATACCACTGGGTTGGATGCGATACTAAACGCGCGGGGCTGTAGCGGCGAGAAGAGGTCAAACAAGTACTCGAGGGGCAAGTGACCTTGCGTGCTGGGAAAGTCCTAATGGGATGAAGCAGACCCTGAGGTGAAGTCATTCGTAGAAAGCAATCTGTGCGCCGCCCAGCTCTTTTGCACAGCAAGGGCGTTGGTGCGTCTGAGCTTGAAGACTCACACGAAGGACCTCCAAACTGGTACGACGCATACGGTGGCAGTAATCCAGCAGCTCGTCTTGTCCTTGGGGCAGCAAAAGCTCTCGCAAGCGTTCCACCTACCAGCCGTAGCATTCAATGAGAATGCCAATTCAGGCCACCCAATCACGAATCAAGTCGAGAGCTTGTACCTCATGCTCAGCGGGCGCAAAGCAGCTGAGAAGCTCAAAGAAATAGCGAAAGGGTACTGCTTGGATATCCAGATCGTGCGTCAGAATTTCGCGCAACGTGGCCCGTGGCCGTCCACGAAGGCGAGTGGGCAATGGACTATCTTCCCGTCGTTGCTGCAGCTCTAGCACGACGTCACCGTCCACGCCCATCCAGGCCAAAAGCTCATCCACAACAGCCCGTCGATTTTGAGGCTGCCTCGCAAGAAAGATCAGCCATCGCAACAGGTTGTGAGTGCGCGAGCAAAACGTCAGTTTTAGAAGCAATTGCTCTGGAGCATAATCAACAGGTTTGAGGTAGCATACCATGATATAAGCCACATCACCGGGACGGTACGTGAGGCCAGGCTGCTGGCTGATATCCACAGCCACGTGTCTAGACGCCCCGAAGCCAACCAACACCCACGGCATTTTACCACAAGGTCAGCGCCAGCGACAGCAACGTAAGCTGCCTTCGAGGCCAGCTCGTGGACATGGTCATGTTCATGATGGACAGTACGAGAAGGAGAGTGTCCATGACTTTCGGGCACATGGCAGCAAACATCGTACCGCACGTCTTGAAAATGACTTTGGGGTGTGACACGCTTGTTCCATAGGAATTGTGTGCTCAGCGGCTGTTCTCGAGTCGGCACAGTGTCTGGGGTCAATGGTGCCCAGATAGGAGCCGGCTTGGTGTCCGTCTAACCCAATTTCACCGATGTGAGTATCCAGGCCCTTGCCCAGGGTTGGGCGTCACGCACCACTTGCCTGCTCGTCAGTGCCATGGACAACAATTGTGTATCGCGGGGGCAGAAGGCGAGACAATGGCACTGGGACTTGGCCGGGGGCCAGGGGCATGACCAGCAATAGCTAAACACAGAGATGTAGGGAGCAAGATGTCAGCCACCGAATGACGCCGGCGGGCGACCGTTGATATGCCGACGCCGCGAGTGGTGCTCACGTGATTAAGGACGCTTTGAACAAAGGGCTCAAGTGCTCCCTCCACGGCGAGCGGGTGCTGATCGTCGGCCAAGCCAAGCGGCACAAATGGCTGGGCACCCAGCGTCTGAAGACGCTTGTGCAACTTTTTGGCGACAAAGTTGAACTTTGCGTAGCTGGAATCGCCCAGCCCAAAGCAGGCAAACTGGAGGTGGGCTAGTGCCGTGGCCGGCAATCGTTTCTGCAAAAGGAAGCGCCAAGTGCGGCGCATGTTGTCTGGGGTCTCACCCTGCCCGGTTGTTGAGCAGACAAAGACCATGTACCGCTCCTGCAGCATGTTCTTGATGTCGTACTCGTCCATCGGCTGCACGTGGGTCTCGAACCAGTAACGTTCCAATCGACGACCTACGGCCTCAGCCGCGTCGGCCGCGGTTCCGGTTTGCGAGCCATAAAGCACAACCACACGGCGCCGCGGCGCACCGGCCGCTGCCGTCTCAGCCATCACGCAACCCAATCACAGAGCTCGAAACGGAACGCAGACCGAATGATGAGCCAGACGGGGACGGATAATGATGGGAAATGATGAGTCGGCGAAAACAGTCAGACAGTTGATTTGTCAGCTTGTTCTCATTATTTCGTGGCACTCGCTATTGTGTGTGTGTGTGCTTGTGCTTGTTTGTTTGTGTGCTTGTGTGCTTGTGTGTGTGTGCTGGTTGTCCATTGGCAGCATTGATCGTCTGAAGCCATGGACCTGCTTGTCTGCTGGTCTTCTTGTTGAATGGGAGGGGCGGGATCGCGAAGGGAGCTTTGTTGAATTATGATCTTGTTTCAGACAGAGCAAGACGACCACTTGCGTGCGTGGACGGGTTGTCAAAGGGTTGAACCCCATAGAATAACCGCCACTGGGCACACGAAGCAGGATTGCTGCACAGCAACGAAATTCACACAAGGGTCCGGTCCACATCGTAACCTCGAGCCCGCGCAACAACGCAGTGGGGCAGCCCCGACCGAGGGGTGGGGTGGTGAGGCAGAGCAAGATCCAAAGCTGAGCGCAGCAAGTGCGAAAACAAGAGCAAACGGGCGTCTTGGAAAAAACAAACAAACAAACAAACAATCAAACAAACAAACAAAAAAAAGATCTGCTACGAGCCGCACAGGGACGAGGAAGCAAGCAGTGGGCAAACACTTGTGGTGACTCTGGTAAAACAGCGGGTCTACTTGAGGGCATTGTTAGCCTTCATGTGCTCCAGAGCATTCTACCCCGGTCAGAGAGGGAATATTGCACAAATGAGGTTGCTCGAATCGACAGAGGATTCAGACAAAAAAAGGGTCGAATCGGCATACCGCATCAAACTGCTGGCGGTTCTCGTCATAGAGCTTGCCCAGGTCCCAGCGCAGAATGTAGTCCCGTTCGGGGGTGTTGATGACTTGCAGGATGTGCTTCAACATTCCGGAGATCCCAAGGCTAGGATGCCAGTTATAATCCCCCAAGGGCAGGCAAACCAAGCCATTCTCTAAAACGTGCGGGTGGTAGATGGGAGTGATAAACTTGATCTGCGTCCGGATGAGGGTTGCACGCAAGGGAATGAGTTTGCGTCAAAGTCTCGAGCCGTGGGTAGAACATGTATCAAGGTCAAGGCGATCGTGAGATCAAAGCAGACATACAAATGGGGGCTCGTAGGGATAGTCTCGGGGGAAAGTGATGTCAATGGTAAAGCGGCCCTTGTCAAAAGGTGCCTCGGACTATTGGTGTGAAACGTCCACACCCATAAATTATTCTGCTTGTACCTTACCATCTTTCGCTAAACGCTCGTTTTCAATTCAAGATCAAGCAACAAGTCGAGCAAGAAACACCATGCTACAATGGAATCACTGGGGACACAAGCACGCACGGGTTCGAGAACGGCTGTCCATTTGAGCATGTTGGGCTCGACCATCTCAAACCTGGCCACTCCAGGAATGGGCTCCATGGCCATCGTTTCAAATTCCTATGCACGAAAGAGAGGAGCCCAATGTCAAGCCAGTCACGCAAATTAAAACAAGACCCTTGTTGGCTTTGTTGGAAAAGGAAGAGGGGATTAGAACGGGGCAAGATCGTTTGCTAACACGGCGAAGACGCTTGAGAGACATGTTTGCAATGACGCGTACAACTTGCTTTCTACGCACACGACAATGTAAGGTGAAGAAACGTGCGCCCCCGCCAGAGGCGTTGCCCCTGCCAACCTCCCACTCGAGCTATCAAGCCCAGGTCGCCGACGGACGAGTTGCCGCTGTCAAGCATCTTTCTGACCTCAAGTTGCCACTGACTGATCTTTGACACAAATACACTCTGAAAGAGAGAAGAGAGAGAGGGAGAGAGAGAGGGAGAGAGGGAGAGAGGAAGAGAGGGAGTTCGTTTGCTTGTGTCCGGACGTTGGCTGCTCTCATGAAAAAAAGAAGCTGGACGCTGCTGAGCCGAGAGAGACAGAAACACAGAGAGAAATACATCACATTATTACGCAAGCAAAGTTTTCAGCTGTTGTGTGTGCAAAGCACCCAAACGGGCTTCTTGACAGTCACCAAGCTGCAGCAGCTTGTTGCCCGGTGCGTGCATGCATGCGTTATCGATGAGCAATTTTTAACACCTCTCCATCTTCGCCACAACGAAACGAGTACATCCGGATGTACCTTTTTTCCCCCTACCCATTGTCCTTTGCACAGACAGCCCATATCAAGGAAGCACAACCTCGACCGTCTGTTCCCTTGCCCCCTTGCCTTTTCGCTTACACTGCCAGTTGATGTTAGGCCTGACCCCTTACCCACTTGCTTTCCTCCTCTCGCCTTCAACGACAGGCAATCCTCTCGTAGCAAGCATGGCGCTGTCAACACAAGACAAACAGGGCATTCTGCCGTCTCACAACCTTGCCCTCGACCCAAATCGAATCAACAATCGCAACTGCACCACGTTGTTGAGCACAGATGTGCAAACAACTCGCTCACAATTGGACAAAATGAGGTTTGAAGATTACTCTTCATCCTCGCTGTACACCTTATTCTCTTTTGCACAAACCTGCTCCTGCTCGATCAAACGCAGACACTTTTGAACCACAGCGAGCTTGATAAGGAAATATCGGGAGGCAAAGTACTTATGCGTACATGAAAGTGTCGCTTTGGATTGTTTGTTGGCTTGTCTGACTGTGTTGTGACTTGCAAAGGCCTTTCGAGGCTTGATCTCAACACAACGTGAAGAAACTTGGAAAGCAACAGGTCCGTTGAATAGCTACAATCGATTCGGATGGGGGTAGGAACACAAGGGGGCAGAGATTGGCATTCGCTGCCCCGTGTTCGTTCTAAACGCTCGAGGAAAACCACTACATGAGTGGGGGAGTCTGGACCACTTTCCATAACCATTTGCTGTTGCACGCGGCCTTGAACTAGCAAAGGTCGATGACGGGAGCAACGTTTCAGCAGGAAGGAACTGTCAACAACGACCAGAATGGACGCACTGCGTCACTAAACTGTGCAGAAAAAACCACACACAGACACAGACACAGACACAAAAGGACTTTGAGGAAAGTAAAAGAAAAAAGAAAAAACCAAAGCAAAAACAAAAACCAAACAAAAACCAAAAACAAAACAAAAAACAACAACACATGCACGCGCGCACACACACGCGAACAGCCATCTTCAAATCATGCGAGATGGAAGTGACACAGTCAACTACACTGTTGACTCGACGGTAGCGGCATGGGGTACATTGTTCCTGGCAAATCTGTACTCGTCCTGAAGCCAGGATCCAGTCCAGTTGATGAGCGATTGAGGTCGGCGATAGAGCTGGAGCAAGAGCAGCGTTAGATCCTCCTCGAGTTCAAAGCTGCGCCTCTCGCGGGCAACGTAAATCGCATGGATCAAGTTCACCAGGCTGTCCACCGTAGGCATGTCCTCAAACATGATCTCCCGATCAATACCGGAGAACATGGCGCGGATGAGCCGGGCCAGCACCAGCACAAATGACACATAGAGGCCAACGATACCAAAGCCGGCGAGAAACTCAAGCACGCCGGATGGTACACGTTCGTGCAGCGAGACGATCTCAATCGTTGGTCCGGTTGCTCCATCCTACACCAAGCAGCAAGCACGAGGTGCAGCCGTCACAAGCATATCAGGGATAGCTCAGACACAAGTCAAGGTTTGGTCGGCACGAATATCGGGTGGGGAGTTTGCACAACAGCAGGGTACTCTTTCAAAGCCCTTTCTGATTTACCACGAGGCGCAAACATCAAGCATCAGCACACACGTACGAGCTTGGCGGAGGTCTGAGACAGGATGGAGAAGGTGTTGACGTCGTCGTAGGCAACTGAAATGGTGTTGTAGCGTCGCAAGGAGGCGCGGCGGCCAGGGCCTAACAGTAGGGTCTCCGATGCCGTCACACGTACGGTCTGTGGTACCAGGTTATCAAGCGAAAGGGTACCGCCACCTCCACGCAAGATGGCGGCTAAATCTGCTTGCTGAGCCGCGGTCAAGCTGATGCTGTTCTCACCCGCTGCCAATTCTGCTTCACCCTGATAGAATGTCAGTTCAAGAGACACCAGCGGCGCAATGCCTGCATCGAGCTCTCCCAAGTACGCATTCAAGATTGGTGCGGTCACAACCCAGGCTTCTGCCGAAGCGGCAGGAAAGTTGGTGGCTATGATGTCGTTATTCTCAAAGTCTGAGAGGAAATTAGGTCCGGTCAGGTTCTCCAGTACATTGCGAGTCTCCACAGACACCGGTTGGGGATCAAATTCAAGCCGCATCGAGTAAAAGGGAGGTGTGTTTTCTCCAAGCGCAACCGTGATGGAAGCTGCATCGGGCAGGTTAGAGGCCGTCTGGCTTGAGAAGGCTGCCATCAAAATCAGGGGCAGCCAAATCACAATCAGCAGACCCAAGGAAAAGAGAAACCCTCCGCCCAACTTGGGCCCAAAAGCCTGCTTCTTAGCATAGCCACCGCGCTTCACGTCAGTGACCTTCTTCCTTGCCAAGAAGTATCGGTTCTTGTACAACTGCGAAGCAGAAGAAAAAGTTCAAGGCGGCTGGGGTGAGTGGCCGGTCCCAGGGCTATCCAACCAGAGGCGTATGATACTACTCGGGCGAAACGTGATGCAAAACATTCCAGAGTAACAAATGCTCGGGTCAAGGCGTACACTTTGTCACCGACCTGATGATAAATGGCATCGACTTTCTGCCACCAACGAAACTGAGATATGGTGGGGGTGAAGGTCCAGTCCAAGAGCACACGAATTTCGTGCATAAATGGAACTGCACGGTAGATAACCCACACCAAGTAGGCTGGAATCGACACGCTACGAGTGAGAAAGTTGCCGAGCACAAAGTTGGGATAGCCCGTGCGCAGCTAGCATCGCGGTCACATGGCGGTAAGTATGCAAAACAAAAGGGCGATGAGCATTTCTTGAAGCATCGGCGCGATTCTGCAAAGAGCGAGCTGTCTGTCCAAGCATCCTTGGGCGAGCGAAAAGGGGAAAGGCGGAGGGTAGGCACACCTGCATTGAGGAAAATATCCAGTACGCGAGGTAGAGAATGTAAATAAAGACCAACACTCCGTTGTTGGGGAACGATCGGTTTGTGTCAATGGGAAGCACAAAGAATATGTAAATGTGCAAGCCAATGACCGTGACCACATGGACGAGTAGCTTGCCACGCATGCTGCGTTTGAGATAAAAAATACGGTCCAGAATCATCACAATAAACTGCATCAGGAGGGAGATGAGCAAAATTGGAGGAATGTTGTTCTCCGTGATGCCTGGGTCCGCGGTGGTGTGCTCTTCAAAGGCCGACCAGCCAGCACCGATAGAAATCATCGTGATAAACTGGATAATGAAGGTGACCACGTAAAAGTCTTGGCGACGCTTGCCAGCCAAGCTCATCACTTGCCGATAGAGGTTCTTGATACGCTGAATCAATGTGGCGCCCTCTGTTTGCTTGAAGGTACGCTGGAGCAATCGCTCCAGATGGCGCAGCTTCTTGCGCGCCTCGGTCGAGGTTGGGCGCAAGGATGGTGCGATATCAGGCGGCCCGTCTGACGTGCAAGCCCGGGCTGCATCCTCTTGCAACTGAGCATGGAGTTCCTGATAGGCCGTGCGCTCCAGCGTGGCTTGTTGCTCGGCTCGCAGCATCTCACGCGTGCTGCCACGAGAGTAGCGGTTTTCTCTGCACAATCAAGCCAAGGAGGAGAAAGTAAGAAAAAAAGAGCAGATGAAGCGCGTTTGGTGCTCCAATCGCCCACGACCCTCTGCTGAGCCTGTCTTGATTAACAAATCCTGGTGGAGAATCAAGTGCCTTACCGCCACAGGCCGTGTCGTTGCATCACAATTTTGTTTACGCAAAGAAAAAACAGGAGGAGGAGGTCAGGGACAAAGTCGTAGAGTGGGGTCGGACCAATCAACGGGCTTGTGGGTGTGTACACCTCGGGAATGTCGTCAGATCGCTCAATCCCCACCACTCGTGCGAACGGGGCGCATCCCGTGCTAATGTAGCGATCCTCGCATCGAAAGTCTCCGCCACGGGGCTCGTTGAACTCCCCCCAAAATGTGAACTGAAATGCATAGCGCACCGTCAGCTGCGCACCCGTATAGATCATGACAAAGCTCCAAAAGCGCCGTGAGGGGCTAGGGTTATTGATGGCACCCCACAGAAAATAGGAGGCTGGGTAAACAAGCGCGATGAGGTCGGCATGGTATATGGGTAATATTAACATCAGCAGGATGCACGGCAAAGCCGTTTTGCTGAGCAAGAAACTCATGAACTCCTAAACGGCATGAAGTCATGGGTGAGCAAACGAGGATGAGAGCGTTTGTACCCAAAGCCATATCGTCAAATGCCAGCGCAAAAAAAGTGAGTGCCACACGTACTCGGCCTGTGTCAGCCCCCGTTGGGTGCTGCACGGGTTCGAAATTCGACTCTGAGTATCCCTGCCCAAATTTGATAGCCACAATCCGGGACATGTCTGGCGGCATGGTGAGCACACGCCGTTTCAGGTTGAGCCGGAAGAAGATGCGATAGAAAAAGGCATTGATGGCGTTCATCCATCCAGCAACCCTACAACAGCGCGCCGATTCATGAGTAAACAAAGCATCAACTCATCAGGAGAGGCGCAAACCTGTGCTTGATGCAACATTTAAACCCATATCAAGCTTGTTACTTCAAGTCCACAGAGACAGAGAGAGACATAGAGAGAGTCATAGAGAGAGACAGAGAGAGACAGAGGGACAGAGACAGAGGGACAGAGGGACAGAGACAGAGGGACAGAGATAGAGGGACAGAGACAGACACAAGACACACACAGAGAGACACAGACATGGACCAGCACACACCTTTCACCGCAGCTGGGTTTGTTCACGTTGTCAAGGTCAACCACAACGGGTCCCCTTTGCTGGCAAGTTAGCTTGTACCACAGCTTCTTATACCAGGGCGGGTTTGGCGTCCCGGGATCAGAGGATTCAGCTGAGCTGTGTGAGCCTGCATCGTCATCTGCTGGCGCGTTCTTTCGACAAGTCAGCTTTTGCCAGCAGGTGCGCTGCTCTTCATGCTCGTCGCCAAGCATAGAGTCTCCATCCTTGCTGTCCCGTTGTGCCTTCGTCTTGGTACAGCAGCCCAGCAGTCGCTGTCGTACTCCAAGCAAGGCAGGCTTCTCCGCCGTTGGAGTTGGGGCGGCATTGGGGGCATCGTGCATGGTATCCATCCGTGCCTGTTCCGCTCTGATGACCTCGGCAATACTCTCCATCCAGGCCGACTTTGAGGGCGGGTCAAAGGCCGAATCAGGTACGCCATGGTTGGGATCCTCAGGCACCCCAGTCGTCGAAGCTCGCCGGGTGACGATGCCTTCGGTAGACGCTTGGCTGGCACGAGATTCTACTTCTTGTCTTGAAGCCGAGCTTGCAATTGCTGCATCAGCATCCACCAAGTCACCTTCGGCAGGGTCCTGTTGCTCAAAGTCAAGGTCAGGTGCGGGGGAGGAGCGAGCCGAAGCAAACTCTAGTTCGTCCTGGTCTTCCTTAACATCATCGTCATCATCCTCGCTGCCAAACTTGATGGGTCGTAGAATGTTGCCCATGTTGGCCAAGACACGCGCAAAGAGCTGAGCCGTCTCCTGATCGTCTTTGAGCCGCCCTTGAGAGCGGCGTTGCAGCGCAGCCAGGATTCTTCGAACGTACAACAGCTTCTGAACCTCGAGCTGCTCACGGAGGTAGGTTATCAAGACGCGGTTGGCTTCAACGGCTGAGCCACGAATGGCCGATTGTACGGCGGCCATGCGGGCGACATGCTTAGCTCGCGCTGAGCTCAGATTGAGCAGCAGGCGACGCTGCCAGAGCAGGGTGGCAAGGGCCATCAAGTCAAACAGGTTGCCAAAAGGGTGGAATGGCCCGAGCTTTCGATCGCCAGCTACCAACAGCACATCAGAGCCAAAGCGAAGTCCAAATGCCTCTGCTGCTTGCACCGCCCGGTCATTGAACTGGGTGGCCACTACGCGGAAAATGCGTGTATCGCAAGCAAAGCACCATCAGAACATTCGGAAGATGCCCCAAGGGCAACCCACTGGGAAATAGCAACGCATGGGCGGGGGGGGCGTGCGAGGTGACATGCGAGGAGAGATGAACGAGGTGCAAGCGAGAAAAGTAGCACGTTGTCACGGACCGGCAGGTAAAATGAAAGCCAGGCGCAAGGCCAGCATAACGATAATGGCGTAGAGCTGCACGCGCAAAGCACGCCATTGCATGTAGCGTGAAATGATGATATCACGGTAGCGCATAAGGCTCAGGCCGACAAGAACTAGGTATGCAACGCCCAGAACATCGCTGCGGGCAACGATGGCCATCACAAGGAAGACGTTGGTCGCCATGGGCAACGCCAGCAAGAGGATATGCTTGATCTGGCGCATTTTTGTGCCCACGGGGCTCTCCAGACACATGAGATCCCAAATGACCATGTCTTTCCGGTCAAAACCCTCGAGAGCCACGATGTAGGAGATGAGCAACAGCATGAACAGCAGTTCTGCCATCAAGGCACCGTTGTTGATCCAGGAGTCGGGCACAGCTGTTCGCCCGTCCCGCAGCAGGACATCGGTAGGCGCGGGTGGCAAGTACAGCCAACGCAAAAATGCAGCACCGCCGGGGCTATCGAGACGCCAGTTGTTGTAGGCATAGCTACACAGAGCGTTGCATGAGCTTACACATTTTCGGCCGAACACACGACAGATACAAAGGGCTGAGCATGTGAGACCGTTTCCAGGAACCGAGCATACCGTGAGGACGGCGGCAAGCCAAGATTTCCAAAGTAAAGATACCACAAAAGCGCGACCATCACAAATAGGAGGATTTTCATCGTCACCAGCGTGGATGCCTTGTTCGGCGTGGGAATCATGACCGGGTTCTATGGCGTGCATACAAACAAAGCGATTCGGCTGGATGAGCGCATGGCAGCAAGAGCCCTCTCCCCTCGCCATCCCCCTTATCTTCACCCTCGGTCGTGCTCTGTGACTTACTCGGCCCGGGCTGCGTGCATCGACCTCAAGCGTAACAGGCGCACGCCGCAACAAAATAACGGCAATCACAAAGTAGAAAATTCCGACAAAATTCAACCGAATCAAAGCCAGCAGAAAGAGTGCAAAGACGATCAGCTAGTCAAGCAGGATAAGGGCATGTCAGCTCAGGAGCGCGCGAGTAAATAAGGGCCATGCACACTAGGGCCCAAGTTGGGGCTGAAGGTAAGAGGGTAGCAGGATTGAAAGAAGCCTAAAACAGACACAAGAAAGCAGCACGCTGACGTACTTCAAAACCATAGAGGGTCAAGATGAAGTTGAGAGAAAATTTGAAGGAACGAATCATGGATCCATCGAGCAGATCTTCGCTAAAGATCCGGTTGTTGTCATCTTCATCTTCGTATAGTTCAGACTGTGCTCCATCCTCGGCCAACATGCGCGCTGTACGATCGTCCAAAATGCCGTTGGAAAGCACATCGAGCGTGTGCTCGGATGAACGGTCGTTCTCAGCTCCGGTATGAGTTTCTGGTACGCTCAAGGCAGCTGAGCTTGGGTTTTCTTGCGTCGCCGCACCCGTTGCAGGATTACCGCTGTTCGGAAGCTCCAGCTTGCTATTGGAAAAGGCACCCCCATTTGGCAGGCGGCGGCGTGGCTGGCGCTCAGGATCTGCGACGTAAATGGCGGTGCTGCTCGCCATGTCCGCAGGCTCGTTGGCTTCATCAACCTGCACTGAGGTGAGCGTCGTCAGATCGCGCGGCATGGCAGGTGATGCAGATGCCGAAGAACGCGAAGTGCCTTGTTCGCGTTCGGCCAACGTTTTGTAGATGGCATCGCGAGAGACATCGCGGTGTGATCGATCGAGGATGTCTTGATCATCCAAGTCGCCCAAACCCGCCAAATTTTTGAGAACTTGATGCGCCTCGAGCCCTTTGACGCTGGCTTCTGTGACATGAGCAGCGGGACATTGTGATGGGAGACGGGCAAGGAGTGGGGGCAAAAGTGAGAGGAAGGCGTGGGACAGCACGGCCTTGCAACGATGGATAAGAACGCGTGTGATGCACGAAGCAAGCGTCTACGCACGTCGGTTTAAGGGCTGGTTGTGGGCAGAAGAAAATGATTCGTTGTCCTCATCGTCTCTAACTGGCGTGGTGCGTTCAGATTGCGCCTTGGCGCGGGCCCGCACCTGCCGATTGTGGCTCGCAAACAATAAGCGTGCCAAGCCCA